CAAAATAACATAGTTGAGAGTTTATTTGAAGAAAAATTTTAAGGATGCAATTGTGTAGATCTACATTGTTCAATACGGTAGCCACTGGCCACCTGTGGCTATTTAAATTGAAATAAATCAAAATCAAATTAAGCATTCATTTCCTCAGCACCAGTAGGCACATTTCAAGTGCTCAATAGCCACAGAGGGCCAGTGGCTACCATATTGAACAGTGCAAATACAGAACATTGGTGTCAATATGTAATTTTTTTTTTTTTGGATGGTGCTGGGTGAGAGCTGTTTTACACTGGATCGGTGTTTTTTTATTTAGCATTTACTCCAGCTCTAAATTACCTCTCTTTAGAACTTGATCTGGCTCTGGATAAGTCTGTGTGCACCTGCATTGTCCCATACAGTAGCCCACGATTTACCAGTGTCTGTTGAATCCTGGAAATACGGCCAGTCTGAATTGAAATATACTGTAAGTGTAAAATACACATTGGATTTCAAAGCTTTTGTGTGAATAAAGAATGTAAAAATATAGCATTAATAATTTTTCTAATTATATGTTGAAATATTATTTCAGATATATGGAGTTAGGTAAACTGTATTATTGAAATTACTTTCATGTGTTCTTTTTCACCTTATTTAATGTTGCCACAAGACCATCTTAAATTACATACATGGCTTGCAATATATTTTCACTGGTCAGTGCTGTTATAGACCTATTTGCCCTACTGTGTGACTCTAGAACTCTCTTCATTTCCCTATCTCTTTCTGTATATCTGCACTGCCCAATATAGTAGACATAAGCCACCTGTAGATATTTCCATTTAAATTAATTAAAATGAAACAAAATTTAAAATTCAGTTCCTCTGTCTCATTAGCCACATTTCAGATGCTCAGTAGCCACATGTGGTTAGTGGCCACCAAACTGTGGAGAATAGAGGTAGAACACTTCCATTGTTGTGGAAAGTTCTGTTGGACAGCTCTCACATAGATGGTACACAGCTATGGCAAGAGACACAGAGGTGGATCATGAATGCCTAAAGCTTGGAGAATGTTTCCAGATTGCCAAACCCCATGGCACATCCTTCTTCCATCTCCTAGATGCCTCTCTCTCCCTATCTTAGTTAGACTTATTCACGCACACCTTATATTTTCTTCTCCCCTCCTTCAAGGGCTGTGGCCTGCTTATTTAAACCTGAATATACCTCCTTCCTGTATGAACACAGTGTCTAACATGGTGCATTGTACAGTATAGGTATTCATTAACTATTTCTTAACCAGTTGGAGTGGCAATTCCTAGCAAGTGACTGGAAATATGTGACTAAAGGTAGAGGGAATTCTATATGGCTGGTAGCAGTGGGACAGGGGCCAGGGGTGGGCAGTGGCGGCGATGAATCTAGGATCCCAAGGAAGAGAAAGAGAGAGCAGAGAGACAGCAAAGAGGAAATCAGAGAGACAGTAACCCAAAATCTCATACACATCACCAAAATCCTTCTGCCCATCCCACAAGCTCCTCGCAGGCAGTGACAAGAGTTACTGCAGAAAAATTCACAGGGTTAGGCAACAGCTATATAAACAGTGTGAAAGAAATCCAAAATATTATTACACGATAAATAAACATACCAGACCCATAAATCAGAAGTTGAAATGGCATGAAAATTAAGGGGCTGGTGAGGAGAAAAAATGAAAAATGCTCTGTCCCTGGGCCAGCTGGTGTGAGTTACATTTTATGAGCAGCATGTGAATTCCAGTGCCCTTGCTGGATTAGCAGCAGAATTGCACGTTAGTTTTAAAGCTCCCTCTCGAATAGGAACATCATAACGTCTTTTAATTGGGCCTGATAAAAACGTAGCATTACTTGTAGGTTCCTGAGAGAAGTGAGTTGTGAAATTGGGTTTTCATTAAACCTAATGATGGAAAATTAAGTATAGTGCGTCTGGTGAAATGGAGTGTGATAAAAGACATCACTTCTGCATTATCAGAGGTTAATAAGGGAATAGGTGAGGTAAGATACTTTGGAAAGGGGAGTCCAACCCGTTGGATTAATAAACCTTGAAAATCCCTTGGTTCTGAGTCTTCATAGCATCGTTAGCACTGGCATTGACATTATTGCAAATGTTACAGCAATACAAGTTGTTAAATTTCAATGCATTTATTTTCCATTCCAGTGTTGGTTTTGCTGACACCAAGTTTACAGTCTGTCTAGCAATGTGTTTAGGGAAAATATCCATATTGACAGCTATTTGGTTGGTTTTGGAAACATTTGACGTTTCTCACACACATAAAAAGCCAAGTTCCCATTCCTAGGAAGCCTGTCTTTCCCAGGCAGCTGGTCTCCCATGCAGCCCATGCCCCAAGTTCCTCTGGGAGACTATGGGTCTCCGAAGACATCTGTCCCCATCACACATGGTGGGAAATACAGGCCTCCTAGCATTGACTCAGCTCATCCTTTCCTAGAAATCGTGGCATATGGCATGACTCCAAGCTTTAGGTATTCACAATCCATACCTCTGTGGCTCTTGCTGTAGCTTTGTACCATCTCTAGATGAATCAAACACAAGTGCTCCCTTCCTCTCCATTTCCAATCACACCATCACAGGAGTGATATTCGCTGGAAGGATGCCTTTGATGACAGCTATTCATGACAGCTGGGACACCTACAAGAAACAGTGTGAGTCTTTAAAGAAGGAGATTCCTCCTAAAACCTTTCAACAGGTTCACACTAGCTTCAAGGGTCTTACACATTCACAGTCTTTCTGGATCTGCCTTGCATCGTCTCTTACAGTGTTGCCCCCCTGACATTTCTACCCACAGCTTTTACTCCTAATCAACCTCCTTGCTTTTAACTAAATGTGCCTTCATCTCTCAGGCTCTGTCCTTTTTCTTCAGTTGGTTCTTCTTGCCTATTTCCTTGCTAAACTGTCAAGCCTTAAGGGTGGAATCAGTATTTCTGTCTGCATTGCCACTGCCTACCATAGTCCTTGGCACAGAGTGGGTTCTCAGTAAGTCGAACTCATGAACCCAAGGGGGTGATGGAGAAAGGAAACAGCCCCCATGTTTGCCAAGTGGTGCATTTAAGCAATGCCAGTGAACACATACTAGCTATTACCTAAAATCGTGGGAGAAAAAGTAAGCAGTATTTCTCTTCTGTACAGTCAGGAAGGTTTTGCTAACAACTTGCCTGGGCCCTTCTTTCTTGTGCATATATCTAAATCTTAGAAATCTTTCTGTAGGCAATCCAGGGGTTATTTGGCTGGTCCCCAAAGGACAGCCTCTGCTTTGGGGATGTTTACCTACTACCCTGAATCAGGAAGTTTTGGAGACTACACTCTACCTACGATGACCCCACCTGCTAATTAGATATGACCCAATCAGTGTCTCAAGCTCAGACCAGCCAGATTAGTAGCCTCTCCTCTCTTGGAGGAGCCAGTAGGTGGGGGCAGGCAGAAGGCTGCAAAGTGAAAAATTTATCCCCTACTCCAACCACAGGTATAATTGAAAGCATTAGGGTGACCAACCATTCCCGTGTGCCCGTGACTGAGAGGTTTCCCAACAGCTGAACTTTCAAAGCTAAAACTGGAAAATTGTCAGTAAAACTGGGACAAGTTGGTCACCTAGAAAGCAGGAAGGCCAGGTGTTCCCTTCCGTTATCTTTCCTTGCCAGGAACAGGCTTGCTGATGTTGCTGCAGAAAAGTAGAGTGTGCATTCACACACGGAATCCATGTCTGATGGATTATTCCAACATGACAGGCAAACAAGCTGAAGGGAACGTGGATTTTGAAAAGACAAGTTGCAGAAAATCAGGAATATATGCTAAACCTCCCAGGGAATGAGTATGGCATAGGCCAAGTGGGTATCTGCATAGGTGTTTCACAGGGTCTGAAAACATCTGGGGGAGACACATCAACTGCTGCAGCTGACAGTTCTCATCTCTTGCATGCCACCAACAAGATGGTCCGGGGCATAGACTGTTCATTCATGTCTTTGGAAGGAGGTTGGGAAGACCAAGCCTAGATGGTTCTGGGAAAGGTAAACTGGCCCTGAAAGACCAAGAATGTATGCCTGGCAGGAAGGTGGTAAGCAAGACATTGGTTTTAGTGGTCCAAGGGGAACAGAAGAATTCCAACCCAGTATGAGCAAGCATCAGCTTTCAGGGTGGCCAAACTGACAGAAGGCAGTTAAAGCAACTCATTGGATGAAAAGGTTTTTTTCAAGAGAGAATATAGATCTTACATCAGGCAGAGATTTTATGAAGGCGATGAGGCACGGGATCCAGGCCTGGAGAAAGTAGCTAGCAGCACTGAAGGAAGAGGTCCAGGCTTCCCTACCTGCAAGGTGGGTTCAATGATGCCACTGGATTAATAGTATTAAGTGATGGGGAAACTATACAATAGCAAGAAGGTGGTCACTGGGGCAGAGCTTATAACTACAGAGAGCAGCTGGGAGGGTCAGGGTCCCTGCTAGCTACTGGCAGTCCAATACTGGCTGCAATTCCTCCCAGGGTAAAACTCAAAGGAAAAAAAATTAGTAGATAAGCCAGATCACAGGGATGCAGGCAAATGGACCCGTGGCTTATATGTGACTCCAATCTTCGAGCACCTGAGGCTCTCCTCCCCTGCAGCCAGGCATCAGGCACTATTTCCAGCCTCTCTGCTTCCTAAACAGGAGGGGGGCTCCCAATAAATAGCCTTCCTGCTTCTCAGTGGTTCTGCCCCACCAAGTCTAAAGGAAGGACTGAGACAGACTGGAATGACAACCAGGCTGGAACTTTGTCAGTATGTGCCCTTGAAATGTATTGTGTTTGTTGGTTTGTTTGTGGGTTTGATACTTACATCTACCAACACAGCCAGGCCAGGGAAGGAGTGTATCTCCGGTCTTTCTGCAGTTTCCTGATCAGTTGAGTCCCAAGTTGGTTCCCTCTGCCCTCCTCAGGCCACGCTGGGGGAGACAGGGAGGACAAAGGGCAATGCTTCTATAGGTGATGATCTGTTCTGCCTCCTTCTTTTCAAAGCAGATGGCAGCCGTGGGGAGCTTTCCCAGCCCACTCTCACGATCCAGACTCATCCCTACCGCACCTGTGACCCTGTGGAGATGAGTTACCCCCGGGACCAGTTCCAGCCTGCCATCCGGGTGGCTGACTTGCTGCAGCACATCACGCAGATGAAGAGAGGCCAGGGCTATGGGTTCAAGGAGGAATACGAGGTAAGAGACCAGCCTGTGGGGAAACTTTCTGATTGTTTCAGAGGCTTATTTGGGCACTAAAGCCTTGCTACAAAAAGCATGGCTCCCTGGCCAGCAGCATCAGTATCACCTGGGATCGTGTGGGAAATGCAACATCTCAGGCCACATCCCGCCCTGCTGAATCAGAACCTGCATTTTAACCAGAAACTAGGTGATTTGTATACACATTAAATTTGAGAAGTGCCATGCTAAATAATTCTAAGACTTCACTCCTGTTTCTCTCCCCTTCCCCTTTCATTATCCAGAGTTTCATTATCTCCAAAGTTTCTACACCTTGGAGTCTCACCTCCATTCAATATGCCAGAATGGCTCCAGCTCCCATCCCACATGCTGTAGAAAAGCCAGCACATCTCCCCTGCCAATGATTTCCAGCATGCCTGCTTGCTCTTGGTCACCTCTTGTCTCATACTCAAGCTTCTGTAGTATTCTGGTCCTTGCTCCCACCCCACAAAGGCAATGCTTCATCTCCAGTGACCACAGTTCCCTCTTTCTGCACCTTCTCTTCACCCTGCATGGGCATCCCTTTCCCACCTCCCCAAAGCATCTCTAACACAAAGGATTTGCAGGTAGTGGTTGTTACCAAGGTTTGGGAAATAATAGAGAAGGACTGCAGCAAACGACAGGCAGCACCTCAATACAACGCTGTTCTTCTTATAAGTTCCTTAACCATCTACATTGCTGGTAAGGCCTTCTAAGGTTCTGGTCTCCCAACAGGTCTCTATCTAATTTCTCCTCAAAGTCTTCTTTAGTGTCCTCAAAACTTCTTCCACCCCCACCCCTCAGCATCCAGACAAAGGGCCCCACATTCCTCTTTTATTTTGCAGAACAATTTAGCTTTCTCTATCTCACTCTTTTTGTTTCAAATCCTGCCCATTAGGCCTCACCTTTTACAAACAAAAAGCAAAATAAAAGGAAAATGCATTAAGACGTTTTTTCTGAACCAAAGAGCAGCTGACTCTCCAAGAATAATTCTGCAACTCTCCTAGTTGCAGGTAGACTCCAGCTGCAGTCAGCTTTGAAAACAATTTCTTTCTTCACTTTTCCTTTCCTCTCTCTCCCTTCCCTCCTTCCTTCCTAAAATATCTTTTGAGTATCTTCTGTGTACCATGCTCTGAGTTATATGTATTTGTGTGGGTTTTTTGTTGTTGTTGTTTGTTCTTTTTTTTCTCTTCACATGCAGTGTGTGCCCCAGATATGCTTGATTCAGTTTTGCTGTGTGCAGTAGAAAACTCATTGGCTCAGACTCCACACATTTGGAATTCTTGATATTGCAGACTAAGTTTATCCCTCAGACTATATTCTGAGAAAGAGCTTACAAAGCAATATTTCTGAAGTCGTATGAGGTCATGAAATTGTGCTAAACTAGGGGTCCAGACAGCTGGATTCCAATGTAGTAAGCTGTTAGATTTTAGAATTTTGCTATCTGAGTTTTAAAATTCTTTATTAGTTGAATGAAGAATTTGGATAAGGTGATCTCTCAGGATCTATCTGGTCCTAAAACTTTATGAGCGTGTAAAACATGGTGACAAGGGGGCATGTTTGACATATCTATGAGAACAAAAACGTTTTTGTCAATGGATGTGAGTAATTACCAGCTTCGGAGAGCTAGCACTTAATTTCAAAAACAGTCTAAGTAAAATAGCATTTTTCATATTCTCATCTACAAATCTTGAAAGGATATTCAAATTAGAGTTGAAGAAGATGATCTCATTACTACCCATCCCTGGATCTCATTTGCTAGGGGATTGAATGGTCCCAGTCTCGGGGGCATAGGGTGCATGTGAGCATGCTTTATGTGTGTGTATACAGACCTGTTTGTTGAGCAAATGTCAGGAAGGTTATGTTGTTTGAAATGGTATATTCAACATTAGTCATAACAATTTGATTAAAAGTTTCAAATATCATTAAGGGAGATATTTTTTGGCTTACCCAAAAAAAAAAAAAGGGACAAGCAGCCAAATGCTGAGAAACACATATGTAAGAACTTGCAATCTGAAATTTGAAGACAGAATTACAAGTGTATTTGACACTTTCATGCATTTCCTTCTAAATTAACATTTCTTTTAAAGCATTCATCCCTGTGTGATGAGTTGCTTTTCAAAACTTTTTCTTTGTACCCTTTTGCATTTTCCAAACTTTCTAGCATGGAAATGAAGAGCTTTTATAAGAAAACAAACAATACATGTCATTTCATCATTTGAACCTCAACCAGAAATCTAACTAGGCTAGCCTTGACCTCAATTAGTTCAAATTATATTAATCAGCAAGCTGTAACGCTTAGCTTCTAGTTAACATTATTTTCTGATTAACTGAGGGTTAATTGGAAAATATTGCCTGATAAAAGTCATTTCACAATGTGCTAGCCCACAATGTCCAGCCCAGAATACAGCTGGATATTGCTTTGATCATCAGGGCTCCTCTGATATCTCGAATCTTCATCCTGAGCATAAGAGTCACAGATCTGCTAGGAGAATCCTATTGCAGATATAAGACTCCTGAGCCTCCAATCCTACTCTCATATGAGTCTGCTATGTGCTGTTTGTTGTCTGTCACTTCTCTGTTCTCAGTTTTTTCATACAAACGAGTGGGTTTGACAAGTTGACATCTAAGGGACATCTCAGCCATAGCAAGCTGCGTCAGAAGACAAAATTCAATTCAGTTGAACAATCACTTAAAATTTGTTCAGTAAATATTTACTATTTATTATTGCCAAGGACGATTCTAGGTATTTGGGATACAACAGTGAATGAAACAAAGATTCTTGCCCTCCTGAAGCTTGTATTCTAGCAAGGGAAGTAGGAAATAAACATAAGCTTAAAAAATAAGCAAATTTTATAATGTAGTGTGTTAGACAGTGAAAAATACTGTGTGCTATGTTACAAACCACTCCAAATTTTAGCAACATAACCAGTTTCTTGCATTCATTGATTCTGTGGAATCTGTGCAGGGTACAACAGGGATAACCTGTTTCTTCCACACAGTATCCAGAGCCTGGGCTAGGAAGTCTCCAAGGCTGGGGGCTGGAATCATCTGAACATGTCTTCACTCACATGACTAGTGACTGATGCAGGCTTTCAGCTGGGATTGTCCACTGGAAGACCTACACATGGCCTTTTCAGTGACCTGGGCTTCTTCACAGCGTGGTAGCCTTGAGATAGCTGGACGATTTCCATGGTGGCTTAGAGCTCCATAGGTGAGCTCCCCAGATAAAAGGTGAAAAGTGCATCACCTTTGTGACCCAAACTTGGGTATCACACTGCATTATTCCTACCATGTACTATTGGTTGTAAGCAGGTAAAAACTCCCCTACTTTCTAGGAGAGGGGAATTTGACTCTATCCCTTGATGAGGGAGGAGGAGGGGCAGTTGCCAGATTCTAGAGGAGCATGCAGAGCAAGAAATATTGTGGGGGGAAAAGAAAAGCCCAGGCGCAGTGGTTCATGCCTGTAATCCCAGCACTTTGGGAGGCTGAGGTGGGTGGATTGCCTGAGGTCAGGAGTTCAAGACCAGCCTGGCCAACATGGTGAAACCCTTTCTCTACTACAAATACAAAAATTAGCCCAGCGTGATGGTGGGTGCCTGTAACCCTAAGTACTCTGGAGGCTGAGGCAGGAGAATCACTTGAACCCAGGAAGCAGAGGTTGCAGTGAGCTGAGATCATGCCACTATACTCCAACCTCAGGGCAGAGTGAGACTCCATCTCCAAAGAAAAAGAGAAAGAAAATCTTTGGATAATAATACAGTCTGCCACAAGTACCATGGAAAAAGAAAGAACAGAGCAAGGAAGGGAGATTTGTTCCAGGGACATGAAGTAAAGGAGGTTCCAATAGTAAACAGGATAAAAGGGTAGTCCTTAATTAGAAGATGAAACTTGAATAAAGACATGGTGGAAGATATCTGGAGGAAGAGCGTTCCAGATCCAGAGAGTAATATACCTGGCACGTACAAGCAGTTGCAAAGAGGCCAGGATAACAGAGGCAGAGTGAGCAAGGGATAAAAGTAATAGGAGATTTGACTGGAGAAATAAAGAGGGACCTGACCATGCTATGCATTACAACCCGTTATAAGGACTTCGACTTTTACTCTGACTAAAATGGAAAGCCACTGCAGAGCTTTAAGAAGACAAGTGCTAATGATCTGTCCTTACTTCATTCTAGCTACTGTGTTGAGAATGGAACTTAGGAAGGCAAGGGTGAAAGCAAGGAGACCAATTAAGAGGACATTGCAGTAACTCAGGTGAGAGACAACAATGACTCAGGGCATGGCAGAGAAGGTGGTGAGACGTGGATGGATTCTGAATATATTTAAAAGATGGAGCCAACAGCATTTCTTAACACATGGTATATGTTACAAAAAGAATTAAGGGTAACTCCAAGGCTGCTGTTTGTGCCACTGGTAGGACAGAGCTGCCTCTAATGGAAGTGGGGACGCTCAAGTAAAGCAGAGCTGGAACAATCAGTAGTTTCATGTTAAATTGAGTTTGCAATGTCCATTAGACATATTAGTGTCTCCATGTAGCAAGGAGGTAGTTGGATCTATGAAGCTGAAATTTGGTAAAGAAGCCTGGGCTGGAGAGAAACCTTTGGGAGTTATTGGCCTACAGATGATTAAAGCCACACTGGGTGAAGTCATCAAGCAAGTGAGTATAGACAAAGACAACGACCTAGGACCAGGCCTTTCAGAATTTCAACTTTAAGATATGGGAGCACTTTTCATGGGACAGACACTGTACTAGGCTCTGGGAACTGAAATAGAGCCCTTGCCTTCTAGGGAACGTAGAGCCTATTCTTAGAGACCAAAACAAATGCCACCATAGAGGTATATCCAGAGCTATGGGAATCCTTGGGGGTGGGATGCATTAACCCAGCCTAAAGGTGAACAGCCAGTGGCTTTCTGGAAGACATAAAGCCCAAAGCTTGAGAAGTAGGAAGAACCAAATTAAAGAAGGGAAGGGTGTTCCAG